GGGGACTTTTTTTTCTTTGATCCAGTCTATTTGGTGTTCTGTAAGCTTCTTTTATCTTCATAGGCATATCTTTCTTTAGGTTTGGAAATTTTTCTTATACGATTTTGTTAAATATATTTTCTGTGCCTTTGAGTTGAACTTCTTCTTCTTCCATACCTATTATTCTTAGATTTGGCCTTTTCATAGTGTCCCATATTTTCTGGATATTTTGGCTTGAACTTTTGTTAAATTTAATATTTTCTTTAACTGACGCATCTATTTCCTCTATTGTATCTTCAGCGCTTGAGATTCTGTCTTCCATCTCTTGTATTCTGCTGTTCATGCTTGCATTTTTGGTTCCTGATCATTGTCTCATGGTTTCTGTTTCTATAATTCCCTTGGCTTGTGTTTTCTTTATTGTCTCTATTTAAATTTCAAGTCTTGAATAGTTTCTTTCATATGTTTGATTTCTTTTTCTTGGTTTTATTTATTGGATATCTTCCAATTTTTTGTTTGTCTTTTTCTCTATTTCTTTGAGGGAATTTCCCATTTCCTCTTTAAGAGTTTTAAACATTCTCCTGAAGTTATTTTTTATCTCATTTTCTTCTGCTTCATCTATATTTGGTTGTTCAGGTCTTGCTGTTGTAGGGTCTTTAGGTTTTACTGTTATTGTGTTGCTCTTTGTGATGTAAAGTGTGATCTTACCTTGTCTACTCATCTTTTCCTCTAATAGTTGTGTTAGGGCTGTCTGGGATACTGTGGATTAATCTTCTAGGTTCCAGTGAATCCAAGGCTGAGATGGTTGTTCCTCATGGTACAGTCAGTGCCACGGTTCTAGTTACCCCTTTGGTCACTCCATGTTCCTGGAGGTTGCTCAGAGTTCCCAGGCTTTGCTCCACTCCTTTGGAGTTTGCTGTCTCAGGCCTGCTCTAGCCTAGGTTGTTGGCTCAGACCTGTTTCTGTAAATGTCCCTGGCTTAGGGTTGGTCCTATAAAGGACTCTGGCTCTAGTCTACTCCCTTAGAGTTTCCAGTCTCGGGCATACCCAGATCCACAGAGGACCTGGCTCAGGCTTACTCCCTTAGAGGTCCCAGACTCACACTCGGACCCACAGAGGTTTCTGGTTCCTGCCTATTCCCTTTGATGTCCCAGACGAACGCCCAGACCCACATAGGTCCTAGCTCAGGCCTATTCTCTCTGAGGTCCCAGACTTACTTGTTTTCAAATTTCATATATATTCCCCCCTCCTCTCTTCATCTCTCAAGTCCTCCCACTTTCAAATTTATGGCCTCTTTTAATTTTTATTGTTACATATGTATAAACATATACATACAAGCTACTGAGTCCATTTATTGCTTGTATGTATATGTTTTTAGGGCCAACAAATTGATATCCAATTGGGGTTCCACCCTGGGGAAGACTTAATTCTCCCTCTCTCAGCAGTTATTGATATCCAATTGGGGTTCCACCCTGGGGAAGACTAATTCTCCCTCTCAGCAATTATTAATCGGCTGTAGTTCTTCATCTATGCCTTGTGAGTCCTTCTGTCCTTGTTTGTGCGTCGACTGGTGTTGTTATTGTTCAGGTTTTGTTTAAGTAGTCATGCTGTTGAGACATGAGTGTAGTTTCCCTGCCATATAATCTTAAAGCAGACCCCCTAGTCATCTAGCTCTTAGAACCTTTTCTCCCTCTTTTCCTTGATGTTCCCAGAGGTGTGGGTGCAGGGGTTGTGTTGGATTATCAGTTGGGGCTTTGTATCTTACAGTCAGTTGTTCTCTGTATCTTATTCAACTGTAGCTTTCTGTAATGGATCCTGTCTTCTGCACAAAGAAGCTTCATTGATGAGGGGTAAGAAGTACACTCATCCATGGGTGTAAGGACGAGATTCCCCTTCTTTGGAAAGGTAGTAGTACTTCTCTAGGTTCCGTGACCTCACCAGCCATCAGTAGTTGACTAGGTTTTCTAGACCAGAAATGCATCCCATGCTTCTGAGCAGGGCTTACCCCAAGATAAAAGTATTCTTGAACCTTGGGAGATATCCTGCTATGCTTGCCACTGTGACTTATGAGCCTCACAACTGAGTGTGACCCTTAGTTGCTTTTCTCCCTTAGCAGCTCGGCTTGCAGAGGAAGCTTGATTACTCCATGTCTTGTGTCAGAGAGTATAGGAACACTACATTAAATGTGATCTGATAATACAGCTAGTGGGAAAGTTGGAATAAATGCAATGCCTTTGTCCTTTTCTGATGTTATAGAGTGAAGACCTCTATTCAGTGCAAGTTGTAAAAATTAAGACTGAATAATTAGACTCACTGTGAATTTTGAACTATTAGGAGGTTTTGTTTTTTAAAGATTTTATTTACTTTTTTTTGGGGGGGGGGGTTCGAGACAGGGTTTCTCTGTGGTTTTGGAGCCTGTCCTGGAACTAGCTCTTGTAGATCAGGCTAGTCTCGAACTCACAGAAATCTGCCTGCCTCTGCCTCCCAAGTGCTGGGATTAAAGGCGTGCGCCACCACCGCCCGGCCAATGATTTTATTTACTTTTATGTGTATGAGTATTTTGTCTGCATGTATGTAAGTACACTGCATGCATGCCTGTGGAGTGTAGACAGAAGTTTTTGTCCTGCTGGGTCCCGCAGCCATTCAATCTCAAAGAAACACACAGAGGCTTATATTAATTACAAACTGTTTGGCCTATTAGCACAGGCTTATTATAAACTAGCTCTTACAACTTAAATTAACCCATAATTCTTGTCTATGTTTAGCCACCTGGCTTGGTATCTTTAATCAGTGAAGCATCCTCATCTTGTTTCCTCTGCATCTGGCTGGTAACAACATCTCTGCCTTTCCTCTTTCCAGAATTTTAGTCTAGTTACCCCATCTATACTTCCTACCTAGCTACTGGACAATTAGCATTTATTAAACCAATATGAGTGACAAATCTTTATAGGGTACAAAAATATTATCCCATAGCTATGGAGGCCAGAAGGAGGGCACTGGATCCCCTGGAACTGTAGTTAAGGACTGTTGTAAGACACCATTTAGGTGCTGGGAACTGAGCCTTCATCCTCCAGCCCTGGTCAGTTTTCTTGAGACAGGCATAAGCTAGTTAGCATGGTGTGAATATTGTTTCCTCTCCTCCTCCTCCCCCACCCCCAGTTCTTCTCATCCTCCTACATAGTGCTCAGATCTGCTCTCTTTTTTCCATCCCTCTGCCACTCTTCAAGGTTGGCTATTGTTACATTTCACTTGAGTTCTTACTTCTAGTCTTATCTTTTCACCCTATAATCAGAATGACTCTAAAGCTACTGTCTTACTTAAAATCACATATTGCCTTATTGTTATCTCTACGATAAAGGCCCAAAAATATTTTTGTGACCTGCAATGCCTTTGTGGTTGGAATTACATTAGGCATATAAATGGATTAGGGGACAGCCTAACTATGTCAACTTTTGAAACACACTAATGTGGTTTATCTATTCATTATGACATGCTTAAGTTTTCTTATTGTTTTGTGCTTTAATATTTTTTTTAAGTTTTTCAAGACATGGTTTTTGTGGGTATCCCTGGCTGTCCTGAAACTCATTCTGTAAACTCAACAGAACCACCTGCCTCTGCCTTCCAAGTGCTGAGATTAAAGGTGTGTGCCTTTATGCCCAGCTTGCTTTGTACTCTTGAGTGTATAGAAGTCCTCAACATCTTTTATTATACTTATTCCTGTTATTTTTGCAAAATTCAGCAATATTTTCCAGTAGATGCTCCAGTTCCTTCGGGCTCTAAACATAAAGAACTCTACCCATTACAAACAGGAACCGTTTGGTTTCTTTCCCTCTCACCTTACTCCTTCTCCGTTACTTCTACTTCCCTTTCCCTGTCCCTTTTTACCTTTCCTCAGTGGTTAGGGCTCCCAGTGCAGTGTTGAGTAGAAGTGATAATAGGTAAGTTCTTCTACATTAAGTATAATTTAAGGTAGTCATTCTTCTACACTAAATGTAAATATTAGCTATAGATGTTCATAGACGTGCTTTGTCCATTTGGGGAATTTGCCAAATATTATTAGTTTGTTAAAAGGATTAATCCCCCCCCCGCGTCTATTGAAGTGGTCTTTTATATTTTCTCCCATCAACTGTTAAAACCTGAATTATGTTTATCTGTCTGTCTGTTATGTATCTATCTGTCTGTCTGTCTGCTTTGTTTTTCACTCCTGGGGTATGTTTGCTTGGTAACAATGTGTTAACCTATATTTACATTATTGGATTCCCTTTGATAATTCTTTGTCAAGAATTTTTGCATTAGCATTTGGAGGTAGTGTTGATTTATAATTTTATTACAGTGACCTCATCAGATTGTAGGTTAGGCTGGCCTCAAACTCATAGCCTCCATTTCAGGAATTTGGAATGACTCTGATGTGGCAAGAACCCCAGGCTCTATTCCGGCTGCTTTGCCCACCGCCTACTCCCACAGCATATTTCCTTCTAGCCTGGTCTTCCTTTTCTTCGAAGACTTTCTTCCTTGGGTCGCTAAGTTTAGTGCCTCATTCTCTCCTTGGTTCTCACTTGTCTTGTTTTCTAGTGTCCAGCAGATTGACTTTCCTACTCTGACATTCGTCTTACAATGGATCCAAACTTTGTTTTAATGAAGTTTACTAGATTGTAACATTGGAAGAGCGATCCTCTTAGTTAGTGAAGGGCTGAGCAAATAAACCTCCTGTTACTACAGAAGGAGAATGCACCATGAAGAAATGCCTCCAACTGCTGCCCAGTTCTCTCTCTTCATTGTTTCTTTTCTTCTATGCAGGAATTTTAGCAATGAAGAAAACTAACAAGTTTTTCTTCCAATTCCATACTGTGTGTACAATCAGCTGTTTTCATCTTTCCAATTCCTGTTCTTATGCAGTAGTGGTATCTACATGTAGTTTAGATGTTTATTTCTTTTTTATTCCAAGTGATTATGGCTGGAAAGAATTAGTTATGTGAGAATGTCTTAGGTAATAACAGCTTCTCATTCTGATTATTTCCCTTTAGGAAAGACACTGCTGATCCTGTAACATGGAGGATTGTCTTCATACCTCATCTGAGAATCTGTCCAAGTTGGTCAGCTGGGCCCACAGCCATGGGACCATTTGCAGCCTCATTCCAAACCTGAAACATTTGCTTTCTGAAGGTTCCCATGGGAACCTAACTGCAATGTGGGGCTGTAGTGCTGGCCATGCTTACCACTGGCCACTAACAGCTACTTGCAGAGCTGGGTCCCAAGAGAGGGTTTGTTTCCAGGACAACCGAAGTTTTAATTCTGATAGTCCCAGTATAATTGGGGTGCCTTCTGAGACACAGACTAGCCCTGTGGAAAGATACCCTGGGAGACCCATGAAGGCAAAGCTGGACTGTAGCCGAACCAGAGACTCCTGTGACTTCTCTTACTGCAGTGAGCCCTCTGAACTGGACGAAGCTGTTGAGGAGTATGAAGATGAAAACACACTGTTTGACATGGTTTGTGAGTCTTCTGTTACAGATGAAGACAGTGACTTTGAACCCCAAACCCAGAGGCCTCAAAGTATTGCTCGTAAAAGGCCAGGAATAGTCCCATCTTCCATCCATTCAAGTTCCCAGGGACAGGTGGTTGATGAGTGCAGTAGTGATGTCATCATCAAGAAAATCAAGCAAGAGATTCCTGAAGATTATTACATTGTAGCAAATGCAGAGCTGACTGGAGGGGTAGATGGACCAGCCCTTTCCTTGACACAGATGGCAAAGCCCAAGCCTCAAACTCATGCTGGTCCCTCCTGTGTAGGGTCTGCTAAACTGATTCCCCATGTAACATCTGCCATCAGTGCAGAGCTAGACCCACAGATAATGTCAGCATCCCCCTCTGTGATCTCCAGACCAATCATCCCAAAAACTGCTAGGGTATCGCTGGCTTCACCAAACAGAGGACCTGCTGGTGCCCATGGCCCTGCCCACCAGGTGACCGTGCAGATGCCTGTGAGCACATCACATCCTAACAAACAGATCAGTATCCCTTTGTCTGCCCTTCAACTGCCTGGACAGGATGAACAGGTGGCTTCAGAGGAGTTCCTGCCCCATTTGCCTAGCCAGGTCTCATCTTGTGAGGTAGCCGTCTCTCCCTCAGTGAACACAGAGCCTGAAGTGAGCTCCAGTCAACAGCAGCCTCCTGTCGCTCCAACCATAACCACTGAAGCCACTGCACAGTGCATTCCAGGTATGGAACACGAGGTGACCATAAATCCCTCATCCACATACTTTAGAGAATTCTGCGCCGTCAGCACTTCTAAGACCATTGGTTTAGTTTGCTAGGATGCAGTCATTTTTCATTGTCAGGAAGACAGAAATAATTAAATGTTTTACATGTAATGAATACTGTGGAGGAACTCTATCTGAAGAAGGCTTTCCATTTGGTAGTACACCTTAGGGCTAAGATGGCAACTGGAAGATTGTGCTTTTGATGGCTAGATTTAAGGTTCATATCCAACCTTAGCTGAGCTTTTATAGTAAATCTATTTTTGAAAAAATTTCTTTTTCCTATTGGTATCAAGGTAGTTAAGCCAACTGATATTGAATAAGGTATATGATAATATTTTTTCTTTTTATTTGATCCAGTTTCCTATTGCCATTCATTTTAGTTAGTGTGATAATTTAAACTGATTTTATAAAAGAAACAGGTAACTTCTTAAACAAGTATTTGGTCCCATCTCTCAAAACTTAACAGAATCAGATAACATACATTTCAGGAGTAGCCCAGCTTAACTCGGTACATTCACATTGAGAGGTTTGTAGAGCTTTTCATAGCTGCTACCTCTGCACTTCTAACATTCTAGTGCTCTTTAATTCAAATATCCATTGTTTATTTGAGCCAGGATATTGTGATATATAGGGGGTTTGATGCGCATTCTTTGGACATCTATAATTCAAACCTAAGAGGACATAAGTAGGTGTATGGACAAGGGTGAATAGATACACAGAGTAAAGAAAGCAGAACACTTGGGCAAATTTAGTCCTTCTCAACAGGGCATGCGTTTGGGGAGACGTCCTTTTTTTTTTTAAGATTTTTAGTTATTTATTTTATGTATATGAGTACTCTATCTACATGTAATGCCAGAAGAAGGCTTCGGATCCCACTGTAGATGGTGTGGGAATTGAATTCAGAACGCATGGAAGAGCAACCAGTGCTCATAAACACTGAGCCATCTCTCCAGATCTCAGGGAAACACCCTTAAACACTGAGCTACCTGTGTCTTTGGCCTGAAACTCCCTAGAATTAAGTTGCTTTTACAAGTGCTCATTTATAGTTATAGTATTAGCCCCAAGGTCTCCTAAAAGAACTTACCACTGAAGATGCTTCTACCATACTAAAAATGATCAGTTGCTTTAAAAATTATGCTAGTTGAAAAGTCATGGGCTTTTATGTGGTTGTTTTTTAACAGTTTCATTGAAATGTGATTCATACCGTAAAAGACACTTTTTAAAACTTTATTCTATGAGTGTTTGTGTCCATGTATATGTGTATCACGTTTGACTAGTGCCCAAGGATTGTGAATCATCACGTGTCCTTTGCAAGAGCAACAGCTGCTCTTAACTGCCAGCACTCCTCTGAAGTGCTTCTCAGTCTCAGAAGAAGCAGTTTCTCTTCTTCTCCCAGTTCATGGCAACCGCTCATCTACTTGTGTGAATTTACTTTATAACCTCTTGTGACTACTTTGATTTAGTGTGGCATTTTCAGGGTCAGTCCATATTAGAGCATTTTTTTATTGCCAAGTAATATTTTACTATAAATATATCATGCTTTATTTTTCTTCAGTTGATAGACAGACATGTGAGCTGTTTCCACCTTTGGTCTGTTTGCTACTATGAACATTTATATACAAGTTATTAACGTGAGCATTTTCTTTGATTTTTGTGTGGGCAGCTATTTTAGGGTGAGAAGCCACGAATCCATTTTCTAAAGCCATTTGATTTTAACTCTTGGCACTAATGGACAAAGGTTCCTATTTCTCTGTATGTCACCAACACATTATTTTCTATGTTTTAGAAATTTCTCCTTTACTCTCAATACACAGGAGGCAGAGGTAGGCAAATCTTTGTGAGTCCGAGGCTAATTTGGTGTACATAGCAAGTTCTAAGCCACCTGGAGCTATGTAAGGAGACTCTGACTTAACACAAAAAGTTACTATGCTTTTATATGTAAAAAGTAGTATTACAATCTAGCCTTTATTATTTTAATAACTAATGATATTGATCATTTTTCATGTTTTTATTGGTCATATATATATATATATTCTTTTGAAAATTTTCAGATTCTTTGCTTATCTTAAAAATAGATTCTCTTGTCTACTTTGAGTTGTAAGAGTTCTCTGTATTCTGGATGTGAGTCCCTTAATGATTTGTAAGTATTTTTTCCTATTTTGTAGGCTTATGCTCAGTCATTCATTCATTCTCCCTCCCTCTCTTCCTCTCTTGTTCCACTCCTTCTCAGAGGAAGGCCTTGAACTTTTTTCCTCTACATCCTAGTGCTAGAATTATAGGCATTACCATGTCCAATTATACTTTCTTTTTTTAAAAGAACTTTATACTTTAATTGTTATATAATCCTGTGGACTTAGACTGGGATAATCTTTACATTGCTGGACACAGGTCTGTCAGGCAGAAAACATCTTTGTACTAGGAAATCAAACTTTTAATATATGGAGGGTATACATAGTACTTTTCACTTAAATGGTTGTCTTTTTTTTTTTTTAGACAGCCTGGCATAGTTTTCCATGTTATCAATTTATATTTAATGAAACAACTCAGAAATATATTTTGCAGAGTCATTTAGCATGTTCATAACTTACTAGGACTTCTGCTTTGATCCACACTAACTCTAACCCTGTGAAACAAGTTGTGGGACCCGGCTATAAACCATATTTGAATGTTACTGCATAATTATATTTGGAAAAGAAATTTAACTTTTTTGAAAGACAAGCAGTTTTAATTCTTTCATTAGTGTATGTATTACATTAGGGTTTTTTCTTCCTTTATTAAAATTGCACTTCTTATGTCAGCTATAAACGTCAGGCTTGACCAGGGATTGCATGTACTGTATCCAGCCATGAACTGGTCTTATTTTACTCTTATAAGGAGAATTAGTTTGGCCCAGTGTAGAACGCTCAAGAAAAGCACTCTGAAGAACCAGTAATGACAGATTTCCGAGATGTGGTTCTCATGTTGTGGAAAGATACAAAATTTTCAACATGTTACTGACTTCAGAGAAACTCTATTTGGACTGGAAACAACAGCGAGATTAATAAAAACCCAATCAACACTTCTGTGGTAGTTACAGAAACTTAACATAATTCACCTTTACTTCCTGAAGTCCAACCTAGGTTCTATATTCTAAATTTTAAATTTTAACTTATTTACTTGTGTTTGTATGTTTATTTATAGTTGATGGTCTCACATAATCTAATATATACAAATGCATGTGATTGATTACAGTATAAGGGGACCCTACACAATTAATGCATGTGATTACAGTATAAGGGGACCCTACACAATTAATGCATGTGATTACAGTATAAGGGGACCCTACACAATTAATGTATAAAGCATGATTAGGACTAAAGAGGAAAGCTGTGGGAAAAATAGTCAAAATTTAGAACAGGCTCTCGAACACCATAGAATTCTGAGTCTTTCTCAGATCATCGCAGTAATACTACATGACTTTATAGATTCTATTTTAATAATAAGTTGATAAGTGACTCGTTGAGTCAGCCTGAAACAAAGAGAAGTTGTTCTGGTTTTAGTGGTACCATGCAGTCATTTGAGCACATTAAAAATAAACTCGGAGTCCCCTCAGGTACACCAGTGTCATATTAAGGAAAGAAATCACAGCACTTCCTATTAGTCTCCTTTAGCCAGGAGTGGGCCCAGATCTGACTGCTCTAACTTCACTCTCCATGTCCTCTGTGTGAGTCAGAACCTGCACTGCTTGGAGGCAGTCTTGTGGGTTTGTTCCTGTGTCTCTCCTATTAACGTACTTTGCTCTTTTATTGAACAGCACATAAAGCATCACATTGGAAAGGAATGAGGGATACTTTAAAGAAATCTTTAACGGATTTTTACATGGGATTATGCCACTGACCCCAGATGATCCAGATAACAAATAGAATTACAAACATCATTGTTTATCAAGCAATATCTGCATGTTGCAATCAACATTTATAGTGATATTCAGTTTTTTCATTTTTTTAATTTATTTTACATATCAACCACAGGTTCACCTCCCGTTCTCTCTCCCTACCTCCTCCTTACTCTTCCCCATCCACTCCTCCTCCTTCTCCACTTGTGGGCTAAGGCTTCTCATGGAAATCAACAAAGCATGGCAGACACATCAAGCTGAGGCAGGACCAAGCTCCTCCTCTCCGCTGGCGTCCCACCATAGGAAATAGGTTCCAAAGAGCCAGCTCATATATCAGGAGCAGCCCTGGTTCCACTGCTAAGGGCCTCCCAAAAAAACCAAGCTACACAATTGTCACCCACATGCAGAGGGCCTAGGTTGTTCCCATGCTGGCTCTCTAGCTATTTGTCCAGAGTCTGAGGTACCACAAGCTCAGGTCAGCTGTCTCTGCCAGTTTTCTCATCTTGTTCTTGACCCTCCTTGCGCATGTAATCCCTCTGGCCTCTCTTCAACTTAACTCCCAGAACTCAGCTCAGTACTTGACTGTGGATCTCTGCCCTCTCTTTTCAACAGGTACTGGATGAAGGCTCTATGATGACAACTAGGGTAGTCACCAATCTGATTACAGGGGAGGGCCAATTCAGACACCCTCTCCACTATTGCTTAGGAGTCTTAGCTGGGTTCATCTTTGTGGGTTCCTAGGAGCCTCCCTGGCACCAAGTTTCTCCTTAACCCCACAATGGTCCCCTCTATTAAGATATCTCCCCCAGTGGATATTCTTTTTTTTTTTTTTTTTTTTTTTAGTTTTTCGAGACAGGGTTTCTCTGTAGCTTTGGAGCCTGTCCTGGAACTAGCTCTTGTAGACCAGGCTGGCCTCGAATTTACAGAGATCCGCCTGCCTCTGCCTCCCGAGTGCTGGGATTAAAGGCGTGCGCCACCACCGCCCGGCTGGATATTCATTTTATAAGATTACTTTCAACCTCTGGTTTTGCATTTTCCAGCAAATGATCGTTAGAATTCCCAGATGATACTCTAGGAGACAGGCA